ATAGGTCTCGCCAAGTTGCCCAGGCGGGTCTCGAACCCACAGGCTCAGACAATCCACTCACCTCAGCCTCCCAAAGGTGCGGGATTACAGGCTGAGCCACCGAGCCCGGCTGTATTTCTTTTTTAAAAAATGGATGCATGACAAGCCAGGCACAGTGGCTCATGCCTGTAATTCTGGCATTTTCAGAGGATGAGGCAAGAGGATTGCTTGAGCTCAGGAGTTTGAGACCAGCCTGGACAATATAGTGTGACCTTGTCTCTACAAAAAATCCAAAAATTAGTGTCATGGTGGTGTGCCCCTGTAGTCCCAGCTACTTGGGAGGCTGAGAAGGGAGGATCACTTGGGCCCCAGAGTTCGAGGAGGCAGTGAGCCATGATCGTGCCACTGCAATACAACTTCGTTAAGAGACCCCAACTCAGAAAAATTGATGCATAATAGATGTGCATATTTTTAGAGTAATGTGATAATTTAATACATTCATATAATTTGTACAGATCAAATCAGTGTACTTGGGTACTCATCACCATAAATATTTGTCTTTATGTTAGGAAGATTTGAATTCTTCTCTTCTAGCTATTGTAAAATATACAATAGATTATTGTAAACTACAGTCACCCTACTGGTCTATCAAACACTAGACCTTGTTTCTTCTATTTAACTATGCATTTATACCTATTAACCAACTAAGAAAATCTTCTGAAGGAAAACAGCCGTCATTTTTCTGGACTTTGGGGGAGTTCATAATACTTGTCAAGTTTTAAACATTTATGGTTTTTGTGATTTCTTTTCTCCTAAATAAGTATTCTAGATTGTATCTAATTTTGTATGTATAGTTTTGTGTTCTGTTTTTAAAGGGGACCCCACGGGACCTGGACCATCCCTGCTGGTATGAGCAAAGGGAACTGGTTCTGCCGGGACCCTGAAAAGTACATGGAATGCCTCCCCAAACTGGCCACCGATGAAGGAGGCTGATACATAAATTTATGCACTGCCTTCGAGTTCCCCCTGGGATGTGAACTGCCCCACACTCCGGGCTGTACCAAGAAAGCTCCTGCAGAGCCTCAGTCCTAGAGACTCGGCTGGCCAGGCATCTTTAAGAATCGGCAACAGAGGGAGAATTAGGCCCTTGGCATGCCAAGACCCTGAGTAAACTGCTGAACGTTGCTAGATTTTTGATGTGTTTTTAGAAGCCCCCTTTAGAACAATTAGCTGTTAAAGGGCACAGATACTCTTGCTTGGAATGGCACCCAAAGCACTTTATTAAAGGTTATTTCAGAAATAGTCAGAGGGTTACTGATCCCCGAAGCATACAGCATCACACTGCTATTCAGATACGCTCTTAATCGAAGAGAAAAGCATTTTGCAAAGATGCCACTGAAGGAAGATCCTTTGGGCCTGTGACGTAGCAGTCCCCATAAGGGTGTGCTGAGTACGTTGATCCAAGCTACTGCCTTCCTGACACGGCAGGAGTGTGTGTTCCCGAGAGGCTCAGTGCCCACCTTGGTCTCCAAACACCTGTTCAATCTGAGAGTTGAATGAATTCTCCTTTCCCAGAACCTGGGGCCACTGGAGCTGTACCTTCTTCCAGAAGCTATTTGCCAACAGCAGTGAAGCCACCTGTGAGAAAGAACCAGAGGGAGGAGGAAAGGGACATTCTGTATTCTCTCTGTGGGGACATAACAGTCCTATGATTCCTACCCTCACGTCTGGGTAGAATCCCCTTCCCAGGAGTGGGAACGGTCACTTGATTCTAACCGATAAATTATGGCAGTGGTGAACGGATGTCACTTCAGTGACAATGTCACATTATGTAAGGCTCTTCCTGGCTAGTGACTATGTCATTATGTAAGGCTCTGCCTGGTTAGCAGACTCCCTGTGGAAGCTCTCCTTGCTGGGCTGGTGAAGCAAGAAGTCATGCTGGGAAGCCCACATGGATAGGAGCTGAGAGTGACCTCCAGTTGACATCCAGGCAGAAGCTGGGTCCTCAACCCTATAGCCTCCCAGGAATGAATGTGCCAACAACCTGAGTGAGTTTGAAAGCAATTCTTCCCCAGCTGAGTCTCCGGATGAGAACGTGACCTGGGTGACACACCTTGATTTTAGTTTTGTGAGACCCTAAGCAGAGGACCCAGTTAAGCTGTGACCCAAGAAAACCCACATATTTGTTTATCTGTGGACAGCTAACATTTATTGCAGGTCTAAGGTTTGGGTTTTGGAGATGAACATTGTAAGTCCTTCCTTTGAGGAACTCCCAACTTAGGGAACCAGACATGCAAAATGATAGTGTCAAACCCATAGACAGGGAAGGCTTTGAGAACGATGCACACACTGGAAAGGGAAGACGTGCCAACTCTCCTGGGTGGGGGAAGGGGCAGGTCTTCGAGCTGAATTTGCAAAGAGGAGCTCACCATATGGTTTTGTGAGGAAACAACGCACATGGTAGAGGACACGGCAGGTGCAAAGGCATGGAGGTGTGGGAGAGACTGGAGTGGTTGGGGAGATGAGGCTGACCAGGGCGCCTGCTGGCTGGGGTCCTGAAGGAGGCTATGAGTGTGAAAGCCTGGCTGGGCCTTCAGAAAGGAATCATTTGCTTCATGCACAAGTGGCTCATGTGTGGTTCTCTCAGCCTGATACTGCCCCCTGGTTCCACGATTGATGTCAGGTTTCCCTTTGTCCATGAGCTCACAAGACCCATTCTTGGTTGTTCAATTCTCTGGCTTGTCATTCATGCCTTTGAGAAGGAGGCTTTTTCTCAGAGACAATGCCCTCCTTTAGCAGCAGGGCCTGGCCAGGCCTCAGGCTCCAGATGGCTCTGTCTCAACAGTGGTTCTTAATGTGGAACATAAGAGAGATGTGATGCCGAAGGCCGCGGAGGGGATTCCATTGTTTAGGGAGGATGTTCAGGCATCGCTTTGACTTTCTTTAAAAGCACAGGGACCACGTCCCCAAAGGGCAGTTCACAGTTCTCCATTCTAATGGGCAGTGTGGCCAGCTCCCTGTGTGACTCTGAGTAAACTATTTGCTCTCTCATTTGCACATTGAGCTGGCTGTGGTAAAAGTTTTAAATCCTTTGTGGGTCTGAATTGTGTGTAGCATGCTAGTAGTTGTTAGAAAAAACTAGAACTGCTCGAGTCACTGAAATAATTATCCCCAGCATTTTAATGTGTTCCTGAGCCTTTTGAGGTAGACGCCAAGTTCCATTCGTTCAACCATGTAGTCTTGGTCCTACCCACACCCCCGTCTCATACCCCACTACATAACACACGTACACACACTACACCTCCCTCACATATATCACACACACAAACATCTTTCCATACCTACCCCCCACACACTCTCACACATATAACACCACACACATACCACATATCTACACAGACCACACACACTCCCTCCCACTTATCACACAGACACCATACATCCACACAGACCACTCCTACCCCCTCACACATATCGCACCACACACATACTACACATCTACACCGACCACACACACCCCTCACACATATCACACACACACCACACACCCATATATACCATACACACCCACCTCTACACATACCACACTTGTATACAACCACCCACACACACTGCCTTACATGTATCACGCCCACACATACCACACACACGCCCTCACACATACCATACATGTACACACTCACCTCATACTATACACATCACACACGCACCCTCAAGCATGCCACACATACACGTATTGTACACATACCACACTCCCGTTCATACACACCACACACACCACACCCCTGACATACTGCATACCCACATACACACACACACCACACACACATACCCACACACCCATACATACCAAACACACCACACCCCAGACATGCCACACACACACACACCATACACACCACACCCCTGACATACCACACACATATACATACACACACCACACACATACCACACACACCCATACACACCATACACATCCACTCCTACACATACCACACACGTACACAACCACCCACACATACCATACACACCGCCTTACATATATCATACCTGCACATACCACACATACATACATCACACACATACCACACTCCCCTCATATATACCACACACATCACATCCTTGACATACCACATACATACACAGCACACACATGTCACATACATATCACACATTCACACACCCACTTCATACCACACACACCACACACACTCCTTCACACTTACCACTGACTGATACATATATGATGCACATACCACACTTCCCTTCATACACATCACACACACCACACCCCTGATATACCCCCACACACACCACACACATACCACACACACTCATACATACTATACATACCCACCCCTACACATACCACACGCATACACAACCATCCACACATACCACACACACCCACACACACACCACACATACATACATCACACACATACAGCACTGCCCCCATACACATCACATACACCACACCCCTGACATACCACACACACACACACACACATACACACACACACCACATACCCACCACACACGACACCCCCCCACATACCACATACCTCCATCCCCTGCACACATATACCACACATACACACGCCACAATATAGCAACACCCTTCTCATTGGTACCACCTACAACCACACACACAGAAACCACACACCACATACCTAACACACAAATGCACATAGAGAAACCACACATTACACACCCCCTACATATGTTCCTTTGCACTTAAAAGCAGGAGCACATCAGAGGCTGCCTATCAAGCTGACCAGTTTTCCAGGGAGGGTAGGATCATCTCTCACACAAAGCAATCAGTGTCTTCGAAGACAGAGGCCTGGTCTTGTGGCTGTTTTTCCTGCCATTTTTCAATAAAGGAGGCTGCTGCCAGGTCTGTGGAAAATTACTGGTTCTTTTTTGTTTTATTGGCGTTCAACGTGATACACCTCAGCTGTCTTTCTAACACTCATGTTCTACCAAGGCATTTATTTCTCTATCTATGTTAATAAGGGAGGAAACAGGGGCAAGGGTAAGAGAGGAAAATGAAAACAAAAGAGCTCAGATCTGAGCATTTGGGAACAGTTCTGTTTGAAAGCAATTAGTTGGCTGTCACTCTAATATAGATTAAAATATTTATGAGTGTGCATTGCTAAATATTGGGTCTGAAATGACACTGGCATGCTTATCACTAAACTGAGACTTGTGTTAAGATGATTCACTACATGCATTCATTCATTTGACAAATATTTACCAAACACCTACTGTGGGCGTCCAGTACAACAATCTCCTGTTGTAACTTCCATGGTGCACTGCACAAGGCAAGGCACAGCTATCTTATTCTCCCTTTATTCCAATTTAGTTGTTTCTTGAAGACCGATATTCTTTTGTGCTTCTCTATTTATAGTTTAAAATATCAAAGCAAAACCATTCATTCTAGAAAGATTCAAAAAGACAATTAAACAGAAAGAGAAACAAAGAATAAAAGTCACCTGTCATCGTAATAGAGGTAGTTTCTGATAACAATGGGTATAGAGCCTTTCTGATTTCACACACACACACACACACACACACACACACACTGGATCTCTCTTGAATATCATTTTATAATCTGCTCTTACTGAGGTCTGATTTAGACACAGTAAAATGAACTGTCTTTGCTAAACAGTTCCATGAATTTGACAAATGCGTACAGCTGAGCCATCGCCTCTACAATCTGCAGTCTGCTCTGATTTACTTGGCTTTATATTACAAGCATATTTCTGTGTCACTGAAGGCAGATCTATATCATTGTTTGTATTCAACGCATGGTACACCATCAAATGAATGCAAACTAACTCATTTTACCAGTGGACACTTTTGTCATATACACCCCCAGCATTTGTTCTCAGGACAGAGGACCGAGACCCTTCCTCTTGCTAGTGCACACATTGGCAGCACAGGGAGTGACAGCTAGTTCAGAAGAAAGCTAGGGAATGGGGTGTTCTGGCTTAGTGGGATCCTCCGGTTAACAGAGGTAGGTCCCTCCAGGTTTCTTCCTTTGTAGTTGAACATTTTTCTGAGTACGTTTTCTTGCAAATTGCATATCTGCAATTCATAACACAGTGAAGCCAGAAGTGGTTTATGAGTTCATCAAGTTAGCTCCTGGCGATATGGCATGAAGTTTTATTTCATTGTTTGGTGATCTGGAGTGGTGCTGAGCCATCCTCCTTTGGTCTATTGGGCTGTGACAACAGACCTGGTCTGGTGTGTTGAGAACATGAGGACATTGGGCAGAATCTATTGTGACACCAGGATGTATTTGAGCTTGATTCCTTGAATGAAATCTCTAATAAGAACTTGCCTTGCTATCCTCTGACTGTGCTTGATCATTTCGATTTTTTTTTTAAATACAGATTTTCCATTTTTCTCAGTCCCTCTGGACAGCTCCTCCCAAGTCATTCTCCACACTGCTACTATAGGTGTCTTTTTAGAACACAAGTCTGGTTGTTTTTTTCTTGCTTAAGAACTACTAGTGGCTCCCCCTCCCCCAGGACAAAGGTCAATCCTCAGACAGGCCTCACATGATCTGCCCTGAATACTCCTGTAGACTCTTCCCTTGCGAGGTCACTCTCATACTCAAGTCCCATCATAATGAAACCCTTGTGCTTCCTCCAATGGGCCATGCTTTCTTTCCCAGTCAGGGCTTCGCTGACGCAGTTTCATCTGCTTAACCCTTTCTGTAGTCCCTCTCTCTTCCCTTCTCTGGACAGTTCATGGTCTCAGTTCTGATGTTGCTTCCTCTAGAAACCTTTCCGAGCAGCCCTCTCTCCCATCTCATCCCTTGGAGGTGCTGACCACTTCATATTTAACTGTCTGTTTACTAATCATTCTCTTGCTCTTCAATTTTAAGTGGTGAGGTGGTTTTTGGCTCACTTTTGAATTCTCACTGTGTTTGACACTGGGTAGTCACTCAATAAATATTTTTGGATGATCAATTGCCAATATGGACCTTTCAGTGCAATATCCATGATAAATAGGCAGGCTTTAGGCCTGGCTCTCCATTGTCATCCACTTTATCACCTGCTACTAGCGTGTCTGGCAGGAGTAGCTTAACATTGTGGCATATGTTGATCTTCAGCTTTCGACTCTGTTTTCTTTTTTGAGTCAGGGTCTCACTCTGTTGCCCAGGCTGGAGGGCAGTGGTGCAATCACGGCTCACCACAGCGTCAACCTCCTGGGCTCAGGTAATCCTTCTGCCTCAGCCTCCAGAGTAGCTGGGGCTACAGGTGCACAACACCTGGGGTTACAGGTGCACAACACCATGGTTGGCTAATTTTTAAATGTTTTTGTAGAGATGGGGGTCTCACTATGTTGCCTAAGCTGGTCTCAAACTCCTGGGCTCAAGCGATCCTCCTGTCTGGGTCTCTCAAAGTGCTGGGATTACAGGTGTGAGTCAATGCACCCACCCTTGACTCTGTTTTCAATAATCATAGGTGAAGTTGTTTGAGTGAAAGATCCCCAACTTGACAGACTTTTAAGAATTGGGGACATAATGGCCATTTGACAGATCAGACATACACGTCCTGAGAGATAAAACAAAGCTGTCTGACTCTTTTCTTTTTTAGTTTGTTCCTCATTAGCACGCTAGCTGACCATCTTTTCATATCCTCATTCTCTACAGAATCCGAAGAGTAAAATTCTATTATGTGCAGAGAATGACAAGAACTACTACCTAATCACTGCCAGAAGGAATGCTGCATGCTAACACTTCTAAAACCAAAGACATCATTTTTTAGGGGTTTAACCAGCTTCTAGCCAATCACTCTCTTTGATCAACTCATCCAATTTATACAAGGGAGGTTAGATATTCTGAGGCACATTAATTCAGGTTTTTTGTGGGCTATTTTAAGCAAGGAGGTGGGCATTTAATAATCACTTTAAAATTAGCCCAGCATTTGTGAGACTTCACTGTTTATTCATCTGTTAGGAAATGGCACATTTCTTTTTCCTCTCGAGGTGGTTCTTAGCCCTGTCCATGGGCACTCACAGAGCCTAGCACTTGGGAGAAAGTAGCCTGTGGTTCCATGCAGGCTCCTGAGGGGATCGTCAGATCTCCTGTGGTCTGGGGCTCCGTGGCTAGCCGGGGAGCAATCTCCAGGAGTGCTTCTCGAGTTTGTTCCCTTATCATTGACATACTATACTCACCAAAGGCTGGGTTGGAAAGGCTCTAGTTAGGGAGGATTGCCTGGGAGTCAATGGCCCATCCCTCCCTGTACAGGACCAGCTTTTAAAATTTTAAGAGTGGCAGAATGACTCTCCCATTTCTCTCTCTTCGACTTCTTTTTACTAAAGAAATGTCATGAGCAAGTCCAATACACACAGCAGATAAAAGTGGAGCTTCTCCGGATGAAGCCAGGATAATGGGGTGGGGGTGGAGACGGGAGGGGGCAGGGTTCCGCCCTCCAGCTCCCCTGCTTTGTGAAGAGAGCAGAGGAGAGCTGCTTGACTGAACTGTGCTTTGGAACCCTTGATGAGAAATAGATCTTACTGCAAGAAATTGGTAAGGACGTTGCTCTCTTTTATACAGCATCCTTTCTGGAAACATTCATAGCAGAAATTCCTCATGGGTCTCACTTCCAGGGGAGTGCTTTATTTATTTGTTTTTATCTTATGGAAGCCATGGATTCACCTTTCAGCGCTGGCTGCTAGAAAGCACAGAGCTGGTTTTGTAAGCCTCTTCTGGCAGTTTCTGAGGACTGCCCTCCCTGTACACATTTTATGAACTGTAGAAATTAAGCCAGTAATCTAGGTATCATTTCTACCTTATTTTCCTTTAGTCCTGCCTTTCATTTCAGTTTTATTAAATCTTCTATCTTACATATATGTGTATATTACCCCAAGTCCTTTCTGAAACAAAACAGGATAGCAATAAACACATGGATGCACAAGTATAGTAAAAAGCAAGCAGACAAACAGATAGTTTTCAGCAGCTATCGTGTGACCGCGCTCACCTCATTGGGGTGGAATCCATCCACAGGCTCGATGAGCTGCCAGGGCTGCCCACCTCTCTTCTGCCACTCCTGTATAACTGCAGGACACACGATCAGAGGGTTACAGATGCACTTGCACAAGCAATGATGTACAATAACCATGAAGATTGTCAAGAAACTGCCCACTGCCCTCCAGGGCTCATGCTGACCCAGCCATGGCTGCGTCTGAGTTGTTCTCTTGGGCTGGGGGCTTTCTGAACAGAAATGGTCTTCCTATTGTGTGTGTGTGTGTGTATTTTTTTACTAGCTCTGGAAGGGAATGTGTGAGTGCCGGATGAATGGTTTGTGTGGCAGGGAAGGCAGTAGGGAGAGGTGAGCTCTAAAATATTCAACACTGATTAAAGTACATCTCATTTTTCAGTGGTGCAGCAGGATGGCATTACAGGAGAAGAAAATTAAACATTTTGTTAACATCTCCTTTCATAGGTTGCCATTTGCAGACTCTACCTGCTTGTGTTAAGCACCCACCTTTAAAAATCACACAGTACGTCAGGAATATAATTACATAAAATTATCTCGACACCCCATTTGGAGAGAGTATGGCTGCAGAGAAAATATTATGAACCCAAAGTGAAGAAAAGTAATAAAACTGTCCTTCAACAAGGGTGAGAGACCAAGAATGTCAGTAGCTCCAAGGCAACAGGACAATTAACTCTGCATTGTTTCATCATACAGTCAATAAGAACTCCTTCAGGAAATTTCTAATCCCTGGGGCGTCTCCAGAGAGAAGCATCTCAGCAAAGAGACACCCTCACTTTCCCAATGTCCAGCAAGGGACAGGCACACCTGAGATTCCTCCATTCCTTTCCTCTTCATTTACCAGAAAACTCAAGGACAGAGGTCTGTGACCTCGGACTCTCCCCTTCTCATTCCAAAGGAAGAATGGAGATTCTACTGGGGGCTTTGATTGGACAGGAGATGCTGGGCTTCCCTAGGACTAGGTCAATACTAGGTTGCTTTTGCAATTGGTCCTAATGACCCAGCATGCCACCCCTGAGGGGCTGCAAATAATGCTGTCTTCTCAAAGCTCAGGAAGAAATTCACGCTAGTAGCTTGGAGTCCTACACACTGAATCACCAGTCTCTGTTAGCTTGTTCCCCCGGCAGAATGACCACCGCTCACTCACTCTTTTATATTATGCTTCTGGGTTTTATTGGAGGTTGTTAGAAGAAGCAGTTGTTGGTTAAGTGGCCTTTGCATTTCTTAAAAACTTAAATTAAGAACATTATCCTCAAACTGACTGATAACATGCAGAGGATTGATACAGGGCCCCTACCTGTCACCACACACAAAAATTAACTCTAAATGGATCAAAGACCTAAATGTAAAATCTCAAACTGTAAGAATCTTAGAAAACACAGGAGACACCTTTATGGAAATTGGAAGTGGCAACCAAATCCTATTCAGAACCCTAAATGCCCATACCTTAAGAAATAAGACAGACAAGTGGGACCTCATCAAACTTATGAGCTTCTGCAAAGCAAAAGAAACCATCAAGAGAGCAGGGAGACAGCCCACAGAATGGGAAAAAATATTTGCCAACTGTATATCTGACAAAGTCCTAACATCTAGGATCTACAAGGAACTCAAATGCATGGAAAGGAAAAACAAACAGCCCATTAAAAAGTGGACAAAAGACATGAATAGACACGTCTCAAAAGAAGAGCTATGGGCAGCCAACTGGCACATGATAAAAGCACTCACCTTACTCATCATCAGAGAAATGCAAATCAAAACCACATTGAGATACCACCTAACTCCACTAAGAACCGCCATCATTAATAAAACAAACAATAACAGATGCTGGCGAGGATGCGGAAAAAAAGGAACACTTCTACACTGCTGGTGGGAAAGCAAACTAGTGCAGCCTCTTTGGAAGACAGTGTGGCAATTTTTGAAAGAACTAGAAATTGACCTTCCATATGACCCAGCAAGTCCCTTATTGGGAGTATACCCAGAGGAACTCAGATCATTCTACAAAAAAGATACCTGCACACATATGTTTGTTGCAGCTCTATTCACAATAGCAAAAACATGGGACGAGCCATGCTTCCATTGAAGCTGGACTGGATAAAAAAAATGTGATACATATACACAATAGAATCTTATTCAGCTATAAAGAAGGATAAACATATGGGCTTCACAGCAACTTGGATGGATTTAGAGTTGATCATACTCAGTGATCTATCACAGAAACAAAGAACAGAGTACCATATACTCTCACTCATAAGTGGGCCTTGAACTATAAGAAAGGGATTGGCAGTAGGAGAGGGGGGCGTGGGATTGGCAGTTGAGGGAAACTGCTAGGGGAGGGAGAGGCACACCTCATCAACAAGGGTATCTGCATAATCAACATTTGTACACCTAACCCTGAATTGTACCCCACATCTTTATAATAATAAAATAAAAAAAGAACATTATCCTCTATATCATTGTGCCATGTGGTGTCCTCTACATGGAGTCTCAAGGGAGAAGTCACTTTGTGCTGGTAAACAATACCTCCCTCTGAGGCCAGGTGTGCTGGCTCATGCTTGTAATCTCAGTACTTTGGGAGGCTGAGGTGGGAGGATTGCCTGAGCCCAAGAGTTCGAGTCCAGCCCAGGCAACGTGGTGAGACCTGTCTTCACAATAAATCAAAAAAATTAGCCCAGCATGGTGGCAGGAAGACTGAGGCAAAAGGATTGCCACAGCCCAGCAGATCGAGGTTGCAGTAGCTGTGATCATGTCACTGCACCCCAGTCGGGTGACGGAGTGAAGGTGCTTGCTCTTTTGCTAGGATGCTCGGAGCCCCACACACTCTTGGGAAGGATAGTGTGTTCTGCCCAAACCGTCATGCAGAACCTCAACAATTTTTTCCTGCTCTTGTCCATGGTGTCTGGTAGAGACAGAACCATGGGGAAACTTACCTGGCTCACTCTTCAGTTTACCTGGTCTGCTCTGCCTGTTTTGGGGGGGAATGGCCTTGGAATCTGGCTTTTTGCTTTAAGTTCAGTTCCAACTTCCCTGCCTTTTCCTCTGGATTTGACATCTTGAGGCTCCTGTGGGTCCCAGACTGTCCTCCTAGCTGTCCAGCACCACCACCTCCCACACCCCATCCCTCTTACCCTTCTTTCAGGTCTTTGTTCTCCCCCTTGCCCAGGAGAATAAGCCAGTTTCCTCTTCTTATTTTGGGTCTTGCTTTCTTACTTTGTAACTCTTTGCTGATTTTCTACCCAAGTCTCCTCCATACATGCAACTAATTGCTCTTAATGGGGAGTTGGGCATTCGGAAGGGTTTCTTCAAATGCAGAGGCAGGGTCTTCCGCACTGAGGTCCCTCATTTCTCTTTGCTCTTTAATGGTATTTGTCTCATCTCTCCTTGAAGTCTCACAGGAGTCTCTAATAAAAATCATCAGCAATGATGTGGAAGGGCCCAGTCGAGGTGAGACGTCAGTCTCCTCTTCCCCTCTGTGGCTTCAGAGATGACATCACTTCCTTTCTACTTATGCTCCTTTTTACTTCACCAAAGTTCTCAATGAATATTTTGTCCCTTTCCCTACTTCTTCCTTTATTTTCAGTTTGGTTTTATCTTCTTTTTTTTTAATTTTAAAAATGTGGGGTACAATTCAGGATTAGGTACACAATTGGTCATCGTACAGGTAGGTTTTATGCTGTACAGAACTTAATAGAAGAAAGAAAGAAAAGAAAGAATGAAGGGAATCCCAATAGAATGATGCATGGATTGAAAGTTTGTGCCCCTCCCCGCCCCCCCAAATTCATCTGTTGGAATCCTAGACTCCAATGTGATGGCATTAGGAGGTGGAGTCTTTGGAGGTGATTAGGCCATGAGGATGGAGCCCTTATGATGGATTAGTGACCTTATAAAAGAGACCCCAAAGGCCTCATTCACTCTTTTTTTCACCACATGAAGCTACAAGGATAAGTCAGCAGTCTGCAACCCAGAAGGGGGCCTTCACCAGAACCTGACCATATTGGCATCCTGATTTTGAACTTTCAGGTGCCAGCACTGTGAGAAATAAATTTCTGTTGTTTATAAAGCACCCAGTTTATGGTACTTTATTATAGTAGACTGGGCTGATTAAGGCAGATATTAAGAAATCCCCAGGCATGCTAATAAGACCAGGCCAATGGGAATTAAGCCCAATTAAGACCTCAGACAGGTCAGGTGCAGTGGCTCATGGCTGTACTCCCAGCACTTTGGGAGGCTGAGGTGGCAGGATTGCTTGAACCCAGGAGTTTGAGACCACACAGGGAAACATAGCAAGACTGTATTTCTACAAAAGAAAAAAAATTAGCTGGGCATGGTGGTACATGCTTATAGTTCCAACTTCTTGGAAGGCTGAGGCTAGATAATCACTTGAGCCTAGGAGTTTGAGACTGCAGTGAGCAGTGATTGTGCCACTGCACTCCGGCCTGGGTGACAGAGTCAGACCTTGACTTTAAAAAAAAAAGACCTCAGACAGAGCCTGCAAAGAGTTGGATGAATCAGGCATGAGCATATACTGTATAATACAAATATCCCAAGATCTGAAAAAAACAAGATCCAAAACACTTCTGGTCCCAAATATTTCAGGTGAGAATTCTCAACCTATACTGTATTTCCAAATTGAGAAGCGATGCTCATTCCCTTCTTCTTGCCTTGGAGACTTGAACAATCTCATAATTATGGGAATTTTAAAAGGAAAACTCAGGAACAAAAGCATTAAGAAAGAGAAGGGATACTTGCTTGCCAAGTTTTTTGAGGGAGCAGGGTGGGGTGGGGGCGGTAGGAGCAGTCCATTTTGATTGTCATCATACTTCGGCAATTCTAAGCCATGTCAAAGATAACATGTTCCTCCCTGACAGGAAACTTATTCTTGCCCGTCTCTCCCTTACATTAGTAGATCATTACAAGGTAGTCCTGCCTTTAGAAGAATTGGCTTACCATATAATATAAATAAAATAGGCGTTAAAAGAAAATGTCCCAAGGTTACTAAGGCTAACAATAAGTCAACTAACAGAAAATATCATTTTTTTCACAACTATTGTGTCTGCAAGGGCCACTGCTCATCACATATATGCAGATGTCAGGATGGTAAAAATTAAATGTAACCTTAGTAACTAAAAGGCAAGAGTTTAGGGTTGATCTACATCGTGACTAGTGCTAGACAGAAAGACCCTTTTTTTGTTTATCTCAGGATGCCATTCTGCTTACTCAGGAGAAATGCAATACTAATCACTGGTCTATATTTTTTTCTTAATTGATTTTAGAGTGGGAGGTCTAATCAAAGGCAATATGGTAAGTTGGTTAGTTTCCTTCCTATCTGGGACCATAATTCAAAATAGGCAAAGGCAGTCCTATATGTTCTTCAGAAAACCTGGATTACATTTCTTGAATGATCATGGATTGTTGGAATTTGGTGCACGACATATATATATTTTCTTTTTATAAACATATTTTCTTATCTGTAAAGTAAAAGAAACTGCTAATGACCTGCTTGTTGAAGATGCAATAGAAATAGTGGAGGAAGACTCATAAAACACCTTTCAGCTCCTTGATGAATTGCAGCACTAGCAGGTATTGTAAAGAGAAAGTTGCGTTCTGGTCAGCATCATAACGTCATCGGCTGTTTTTGCAGTTGTATACATGACGGGGAACTAAGAGCCAGTTTTCCTCCAATTGAGCTGTCTTAGAAGCTGAGGGCAGTTAGAGGTATGTTTCAATTGTCAGTGTAAAAATGGCTTTGTCAAGAAAGTGGCATTTTCTTTCCTCTGCTGGGGAGTTGTGGTGCAGACAAAGAAAAAGGACATCACCTGCTCAAGCTGGCATTTCCTGAAGGGAGGAAAAATTGCTGCCTCTGTTTGGTTCATAACCAGTTGGAGAATGAGTCAGCAAGAGACAAGCAATAGTCTTTGGGGATGGGCAATCATCTTTCAGTGCTGGACTGAGACTGTCAGAGTGGACAGCAAATGAGTCTCAGGCCTACCTTCAAGTGACAGAGATCTTCAACTGCAATTTGCTCAGTCACAGGGATGTGAAATTGTGAATTTCAGTGTCATGAAAAATGAGGATATTTCTGAGGCAATAGTCAGATCTAATACAGCAATGAAGTGAGAGGAGAGATTATCACGTGACTATTAGGACTACAGATTTAATAAGTGACTCTGTCAGGTTTTTAAGAGTGTGGCTTTTCTCCTTGATAATGAGCTGCATTTCTACCATACATTTCTGGAAAGAACTCAAAGTACCCTGCAGGTGTGATTAAGTCTGGGAGGTGGGTTGGACGTCAAAAGTGAAGGGGTAGCTTCACACACATTGATGATGGTGGCCTGTTAACAGTTATTGATTGAGTACTGCTTTTCAAGCTCAGTTTCATTTAATCCTTCCATAAACCCCATGGTTGAGTCATTTCTACTCTACATGCAAGAAAGCCATGGCAGAGTGGTTATTTAATTTGCTTGAGGTTACACAGGTATTCTTTGTCTGAACTGGAATAGGAATACAGTTGCAATTTCTGGGATCTTTCTATAATAGTACATGGCACTCACATGGGTGAGTTTCTGGGAGGATGAGCTACCCAGGCATGGGAAGTTACCCATGGAGATGGATCTGGGAGAGGATGATCCTTCCACCTACTCTGGAAAATGCTAAGATTTCAAGGTAAAATTTTCCTTTGCTAACTTTTGGTATAAATCAAGACATTATCACAGTTTCTGAAAACCAGATAGAAATTCTAGCACTTTTAGAAGTAGACAAGAGCCAGGTGGCACCTAGATATTAAGTGCAAAAGGCTGTATCAGGTGTTCATGTAGGCAGGTCCCAGAGCACTGCGTCCATACGTCTACCCTAGGGGGGTGCCAACGAATTTCTTGTGGAGAAGAAAAAGGCCCTGTAGCAAAACTGGATTTTTAAATTTATTTTAAACAAATGGTAGGAGATTATAAAATAGGAAGTTTCCTGAATCGCTGATGGGAATTGCCAAGCAAGGAGAAACACCAGGGAGGTTTCCACCATGCTGATGTAGCATGTTCAGTTTTACTGAACTTTTTCCTTTTTTTTTTTTTACTGCACTTACTGTTGCTGTAAGCACAAGAAAGGACTGATGAGGATCTGCTTCCAAGCATGTTCATTCAACAGTGGAACGCAGGCCAGTGTTGGGTCAAGGGTAAAGCTCTTCTCACTCTATCCTCCATGGAGATAAGGACTTTTCTGTTTGGTTGACAATTATATTCCCAGCACCTACACAATTCCTGGCACATAGCAGAACTTAGTAAAAATCTGATGATGGACCGAACAAATTCTCCATCTTGGAGCATTACAGAGCTCTATTTATTAGGCTTTAATGGGCATGGAGATGACCTCTGGATTGGGTTTAAATGCAGGTTCTGCTTAGGTAGGTGTGGGGCCAGGCCTGGAAATCTGTGTTTATCACCAGTTCCCGGGTGCCGCTGATTTTGCTTATCTAGAACCACACATTGAGTAGCAAGGGTGTAGGGGAAGAGTGCTCTTTCCTGGGTGCTGGCTATGTCCCAGGCACAGCATTTAGGAGGATGACACATTATTTCCAGGTCTAGAAAGGAGAATTTAGAAATGTTCAGAGAACTGCCTACAGTCCCAAAGGTAATAAATGACAGAGCTTGAGGTCACTCTGGAAAATAAAAAAGACCCATGTGAGCATCAGGCATTATTATATTTTTAATAACTTTATCTATATTCAAGGATGATGGTGTTCAAAGATCACTTGGTGGTGCATTTGTTTACACCAGGAATTCATCAATGAGTCTTTAACTCTGCATTTCAATGAGAGGCTATTTATCAAAATGTCTCTCCCCATGAGAGAAATGTGTATCACCTAGGCAGGAAATCTAGTTAAGAAAGATCAGTCTTGCTGAAATGATGTTCGGAATTGAACTACTAGAGTCTGCAATGCAAAATGTGTCAGCTAATGTAATATTTGATAATTCATGATGACCATCTGCTCCATCCCAGATGCTGGGGCTGCGAGGGTAGGGTATGGGGAACAGTGATGATCAACTCTGGATGAAAGATCTTCCCTCCTTCGCCTACACAGAGAGGGTTTTCATTAGCATCATCTCAACTGGCAATCAACAGGAGGCATTCCTCTTGTATAAAAATTGCTTAGCAATGGAAATGAATCTGGAAGGTTTACAGTCAATAAATAATAATTTTCAGATTCAAGATGTAAAGGATAAATCAGTAGATCCAGTAATCATGCCTGACCCCAGTGTTTGAACAGAGTGTTAGTAAAGAAACTTAGGCTGGGTGTGGCGGCTCAAGCCTGTAATTCCAGCACTTTAGGAGGCTAAGGATTGCCTGAGCTCAGGGGATCGAGACCAGCCTGGGCAACTTGGTGAGACCTCGTCTCTATAATTTAAACAAACAAAAAACCGGGTGTGGTAGTGCATGCCTATAGTTCCAGCTACTTGGCAGGTTGCGGTGGAAGGACTGCCCCTGAGCCCAGCAGCTCGAGGTTGCGCTGCACTCTAGCCTGGGCGACAGAGTGAGACACTGACTAAAAAAAAAAAAAAAGAAACTTAGTAATACTCCCTTCAGAAAGCAGAAAGCTGGAACGTGGGACAGGCAAATTATTTGGTCCCTCCCTTGGGATTATTCGGAGATTGTATTAGGTCTGGGGATCTGCACTGCTACTGAGTCCCTGAGTAATTCAGTGCCCACCATGAGAGGTATGAGAAGCCCCGCCTTATCCCTCATTTCTGTCACCTTCATCTTTAGCCCACAGGTAAGCAGGGCCTTGCTCATCCGGCAAGAACAGGTCAGCGATTCCATCAGCGCCCTCCAGCTGGTCACTGGCTCTATTGCTTCAGGGATTCTAAAACGGTGGTAATGCCGAGCCCAGCCTTCTCAGAAAGAGTCTCACACTTTATCTTTTTCAATCCTGAGACTTATTTATGTGTCAGAATAGGCCGGGATAACCCTGCCTGATCTGCTGTCTACTGGTTTATCAACTGGTTGCCCATGCAGGCTCTAAACTGTAGCTGCCTCTTTTGTCTTCTGTCAATACCTAAACCAAGCCACTTACTTTCTTGGAAGGAGAAATCCATGTAGAAAAGATCGAAGTGCGTAAATTTCTCGCTGGTTGCAATTTTTTTCAGTGTGTTGGAGAGTTGTTCTGCTCTCTGAATAAAATGGAAAGAGGGAGAATTCCATGAAACCTAGACTTTGACTTTAGTGAGATAATTCAGGCAAAACAAAGAGATTGTTCTTCCCCACCCTGCTCCACTCTTGTTTCTCTAAGTCATCTGCAGAGGAACAGCTCTGCACATTAAATTCCATTTGAATGCAAGTGGTCAATGAACATATGACACAAGTTAACGTTTATTAGGCATCAAAGCAGTGCCAATTAAAGTAATAAGATACCACTTTTCACCTTTATCTTATTGGCAAAGATAAGATAACCATGGTATTGAATGTTGTCATGGGTAGGTAAATGAGAATGTTATTAGTTAAACCTTTCTAGAGTGCAATTTGGCAATATGAATCAAATTCTTAAACATGAGCAAAGAATCAAATCCTTTGACCCAGTATGTTTTCTAGGAATTTATCTAAAAGAAATAGAAATGTTCACAGACTTATATGTTTATTTATATGATTGTTCATCACAATGTTACTTTCATAGTGAAAAAATGGAAACAACCCATTTGCCCAACATGAAAGGCTGAAATCAATCACAATACATTCATATATGGATACTTAAAAGCAGCTACAGTATTATGGTGTGAAGTAATTTGTGAACATCCAAAAGCATAACAGAGTTATGTGCATTCTCATACTATGCGGACAAAACCCAAACATATCTATCTATGGAAGTGGTGAAGAAAAGACATACACATATATTGACTTTGAGTGGTGGAATTTTGGATAAATTTTGTTGCTGTTCTTTATGCTTTTTTGTGTTCCCACATTTAAAAAAACTAAAATATACTTCTTTTGTAAAAGAAAAACTTCAATCAGTTTTTTACAAAGAGATTATTCACCATCTGTGAAAGATGTGCTAGCCATTTTGCCTGAGCAACAAATTCTCTAAGAGAAGGGAGGAAGGTTCTTATTTACCATGGGAGGACTTGAGTTATACGTTGAGCTAACCTCATTCAGTTCTCTCCACCTCTACAACCATGCTGAGTACCAGCTTCAAAAGTTGTGTGTCGCATGTTTATTGCAGCATTATTCACAATAGCAAAAACAGGGAACCAAGTGTGCTGCCCATCAAAACTAGACTGAATTTTTAAAAATGTGGTACGTATACACAATGGAATATTATGCAATCATAAAGAAGGACAGAATTATTAACTTCACAGCAACTTGAATGGACTTGGAATCTATAACACGGAGTGATTTATCACAGAAACAAAGAACTGAGTACTACATGTTTTCACTTATAAGCGGACCTTGAACAACTATTGTAATACTATAAGAAAAGGATTGGCAGTAGTGGGAAACTGCCAGGGGAGGGGGACACGCCTCATCAACAAGGATACCTGCATAACAAGGATACCTGCATTTGTATACCTAACCCTGAGTTGTACCCCTCATCTTTAAAATAAAAAATTTTTAAAAAGTGTGTGTGTTTCTCACAGGAGTGTGTGAGATAGGCATGCACACACAGGTAGAGACAGTGACTGCAAGACAGAGTAAGAAGGATGGATTCAGAGAGAGGAAGAGGGAGACAGGGTGCACCGAGGTCTCTGGGCTCCTCAGGCACCCTGGCAGTTGGATTGTGTTATTCACCAGCAGAGAGACTATCTTCCTGCCAGAACCCCATCCCCAGTAAAAACTCCACAGCAAACATAGAGATAGAATATCAAAGATGATATCAAAAGCCAGTGGCCGTCATACTTCTGAAGTGAGAGTCCGGAGCGTCTTGTTGGAAGACATCCAGCCGTGGCAGGGGCTGACCTGAGAGCAAGAAAATACGGTGATTAAAGAGAATCGGCACCGGGCAACCCAGCCTTGGAGCTAGTCAGTGAGCGCTCACCTGGAGGCAGTTCAGGAAGGAGTACAGCTGTGCATAGGTCACGTCTTTGTTTAGCTGGCCTGGAAAACAGAGAGGTCTGGCGTGTTGTATGCACTCAGCCATAGCAACATTTTGAGACACTTGGGGGTGACCCTCCCTCCCTTGCAGACAGTTGGTACTTCCAGGGGAAGGCCTTGATTTTTCACTCAGCATCACTCTTGAAAATGCCTGTGCTTTCTTCGTTCTGAGCTCCTAGAAATTTGGACCAGAGTTGGGGAGGGCCCCTGAGGAGTATACTCCCATGTATTACTCTTGGTACAGGCTGGGGCAGAACTGGAGGGACTGGCCTCATTGGGCTCCAGGAAAAAGGGATCTGGGTATCTTATGGCTTCACATGACCAAAGTGCCTTGAACAAAGCACTTTGCAGAGCAGTGCTTCCCCTGGCCATGGTCTGAAATGCCAAGTTCCTGTGGGGCACAAGAAACCTTCAAGGTGGCAGTTGACCAAATCTTCTTTTCCAAGTTTATGAAACACTTGGATCTGAATCAGTTATCCCATGCTGAGGACCTGGAAGGATGTTCTCAGTTTCTGAAGCTCTGACCATGCAGTGCTCTGCAGTCTGGGGAACCAAAGTCCTCTAAAAAATGTTTGGGAGGACCATGGGACGGGGGAGGCCAGCACCTCACATATCCCCTCACAGCACTGGGTTCAGGGTTGCCCAGCAGATATCTTATTTGCACCCTACACTCATTTTTTTTGGTGCAGGTTACAGGAGTACATAGGAATGAAGAGAAAAGTACCATATGGGAGTTCACTCGGAGCCTTTGCAAACTTCAGCTCTTGACCCAGATGCTGTGTGGATTATTTCTTCTCACTTCCAACACTCCCTCAACCCCCTCTGGCACCCCCACCCCCAGAGACAATTCAACGTCCGTGATGTGGCTGCCACACAAAAGTCAAGCCCCTTCCAGATCTCAAGGGTGAATGACTGATGCTGTATCCATTAGTACTCCTCACACCCATGAAAAATAAAGGAAGATAATAGGACCCATCTCAGAGTGAAGAGAGAGAGATGGAAGGTGATGAAAAATGCAGTCTTATTTTTCACTTATATCCCTATCAGTAAGACTGAAATTTTCTTGTCATAGAGGAAAACTATAGTATCTTGTCATAGAGGAAAACTATATTATCTCTCTGTGTGGGTGAGTAAATCCCAGGACTGAGAAGCCACAGGCTCATTACTGCCATTAAAGTCACAATGACCCGCCAGGTCCCTCTTCCATATCTTCACATTTTAGATGAATCCCCAGCCACTGGATTCTGTCTTTACTTTCATTTTATGGACCCAACACAAAGCCCTGAATACCCCTTTTCTGAGTTTCTACTTCCATCCACTGAAGCCTCTTATTTTTCTTCTTTTTCTGTGTCCCTGTCTGTCTCAGCCCAGCCCAGATGCAATGACTGACATCCTCAATGTCCAATCCTCACCCTGGGTTCTCCACGTGCTTTCCTCCTTGGTGGGGGGAAAGTTTGGTGCTTTGACTTGGGGCTTTCTCTCTTGGGGTGTGTGTGTGTGTGTGTGTGTGTGTGTGTGTGTGTGTGTGTGTGTGTGTGTGTGTGTGTTGGGGGGTAGTTTCTGAGCTGCACCCTTCCCTCTTTCTGCCCTTTGTGAGGGCCAGTGTCTGGTTGCCTTGGCCTCGGTGCCCGTCTTTTTTCTTTGTTGGGACCAGAGTTTCCTAATGAAGCATAGGTAGCTTGACTGGGGCCTGCTTGTCTCTGATGTGTCCCCTTGCCCTGAGGGGCAGTCTGCCTCTCTTGACTCTGCTCGGTGGCTGAGGTCTTTTCAACCTAACTCTTGTAGCTTCCTCTTCTCACCTTCAAGCCTGATCGCTTTGCTATCTAGAATGGCCAGAGTTTGTGTCACTCCTTGGATATTGGGAACGTGAGGCCAGTCCCAGCCTTGTTCCATCTGGTCTTCCACTCTTCCTGCTGTCCCTCTGTTGAGGTCCAAGACACCTCAGAATGAGACCAAGAGGTGTATCCTCCTCCCGGGCCTTCTCCAATCCCTCTCCCCTTTCTCTGTATCTCCCTGCCATTCTGGCACCAGCTCCAATGGCACTGGGTTGAAACAGGCAAGAGCCTTAGTGTGAGGAACTAGGTCTGCCGAACAGGATGCGGGCACATTAGGTGTTGTTAGAAGATAACCTAGAAAGGTGTAACAAGTTGGTTTCCCTTCTCTCTGGTATTTCTGCTTGTCAAGGGGTAGGGGGACTCGGACTGGTCATGTGGAAGATTGGTTAGGAGTGCTGGTGAGGGTCTTATGGTTTAAAGGAAAGGAGGAGGGAAAATAGTTCTTGAGCTTTCACCTTTATTGGCACTATCAGTTGGTCCCTCATGCTTTCACTTCAAGCATCACAGTTTTTCCTTGTTGTTTTAATGTCATTTCTGCACATTGACCCTACCTATATGTGGTGCATGTAAAGAGGTGTGCCTGTAACTCTCTGGCCGGAAAGTCAATCTAGTTAGGAAAGTTGACTAAGAATACCCAGGGGCAGAGAGAAGGGGATTGTCCCACAGTGACCAGGATTTCCAGAGGCTGAAGTACTATCTCTCTCTCTGTCTCCATCTCTCCCCTGCCCCATATGTATGTGTGTGTGTGTGTGTGTGTGTGTGTGTGTGTGTGTGTTTATGTGTGTGCTGAGGAGTCAGTGCACTAAAACGGTGGATGCCATATGTTCCTTCTGAAGATTAAAGGTTATGATCCCCAACTGGCTAGAATAGCAGTTTGTGTCTTAGTAATTTGTAACTTCTTCTTTAGGGCAGGGTCTTCAGAATTTATTTAATGCTGGAAGCATAATAGAAATCTTAGGTACCATAAAAACTTAGTACCAACAGAGATCAGTCACACCTCCATGAAATGCCATCTGAATGTTTTAAAAACATATTCTTTCAGATAGGAGAAAGTCAGTAATGAAATATAAATTTCATATATAATGAAATATAAATAAAATATAAAGTATAAGGTATTTAAAAAAGATAATTATTCAAGTTCAAGAAAAATTGGGGCAAAATTAAGTTGTTTTTGTTTTGTGACAAGAGCCCTTTAGGAAAGCCTACTAGCAGACATTTTCAGTCAGTGATGTTTGACTTCTTAACCAGAGGATGACCCTTGGGACAGCTCCCAGAATGCCTGTGGCTTGCGTCCCCCTCACTGGTTCTCGGCACTTTTGCTGTCAGGAGCTATGTGCCATTTTTCCCAGTGGAGTTGTCTTTTCTCTCTCATTTGATTACAAAAACTCAGTCTTACAGAGTCTTTACCCCAAAGCACAGGTATTTCAGACATATCTATGGGATGACTGCCTTCCTCACAGACTATGATGAGAGGACTCATGGCTGACCAAGCTTGAATTCTCTCAAAAGATCGACATAAGTAGAATCCTAATGTGTAAAGCTTGCTTTCTGGTAATTCCTTACAAAGACAATAAACTCTCACTAAGAATTTTAATGACCAGTATAGATTGTGGAGTGCCCCAGCCCTTGGCAGCCAGTCACTGACTAGGTAGTGACTCACAAATATGGCTGACGAGGAGAGATTCCAGGATGGATTCATCACTCCCTGCTCCCTGGCAGGAATGAGACAGGCACCTATTTTTGTTCTGGGCCTTTAGTACCTGCTAGTTTGATGCTGTGGCCTCTAACCTTTCCTTCACTGAATGATCAGGCTGAGTTCCTGCCTGTCTTGGGGGGAAAGGAGGCAACAGAGAATGTATCGTTGACAGGGGCTCAGCCCTCACTCCTCACCCCTCTGTTCCCTAGATTCTTTCCTGATCCTTAAGAGGTGGTCAAAGTCAAGTCTAGATATTATTATTACCATGTTTCTAGGCTCAAATGCAGAAATAAATGGAACGACTCCCCCTTCTCTTTTGCTTTGCACAAACAGCCCTTAGCACAATGCCCAGGAATGAGACTCCAGCATCTGCCTGTTAACTAAGGTAAGACTGACTCTAGCCTGGGCGGAGCAACCCAACCCTGGAGGTTATTCCAGCATTAATCTTGCTTCACTGGTGGTTCAGATCCAAAGATGGGGTTGAAGTGAGAGCAGAAGAGAGACAACGTGAAGGTAGCACCCCTCCTCCAAGTCTCTCGTCTTATGTGAGTTATGAGCCTTGCCAAAGGAGGAACTGGGAAGCTGAATAAACCCACCTACTTCCCCAGCCTTTCTAGGAAGGACCCTGATGCTTTGTTGAGAAATTTGTAATTTATTTCTCATGGCAACCAGGATAATTTGGGATGTGAATAATTGCTTAAAAATATTAAACAAATTTAGATAGTTTCAATTTTCTTCCCAATTGAATTTTTTCAAAACTAATGATTTTATATAGAACAAACTTGTTCCATCTTTTTCTTTTCTTCTTTTCCTTGTTTTTTGCTGTGAAATGCTAGTATGTGCTTAGTGGTTAGAGAGAGAGAGAGAGAGAGAGAGAGAGAGAGAGAGAGAGAGAGAGAGAGAGAGAAACATACTTGAAGAGGACAAGGAAAAGCCTAGAGTATAGTTTCTCAACCTTGGCCCTCCTGAGAATCTTGGTGGTGGGGACTGTCCTGTTCATTGTAGCTGTTAAGCAACATCTCTGGCCCCTCCCCATTAGATACTAGGGGAACCTGCCTCCCATCCCCAGGTGTGATAAACAGAGGGGTGAGTGAGTTGCCCCACTGGCATAGAGAATCCACAAAAGTGATGATGTGTGCCCCAACTGTCCTTTGCCTTTCTCTCAGTCCATTCCAAATTGCATGAAGTCATCCTTACACACCGTGGTTGAATAAGGTGAATTGCATGGCATAGCTGAAAGCATTAATGGAGGTAGTCTAACTAGAGTTACAGAAAGAGAATGGGATTTGAAATCAGAAAACCCAAAGTTAAGTCCCTGTTGGTGTAATGGACTATGTTGGGACCACACTTTCCCGGTACCCGACTTCCCTTCCTCAAGCATTTCTTAGCATGGGAGGAACTTGGCAATCTTAACAAATGTGATTTCTTAGCATGGGAGGAACTTGGCAATCTTAACAAATGTGTTGGGGCAGTTGTACAATTTTCATATCCAATGACTGAAGGAGGCATTCTTAGCCCAAGTTGCTGTCCTTTATGCATGCAAGGCAGCCCGAATGGAGTGTAGTTCTCCTGTGTGTGACCACCCTATTCTTTCTAAGGGACATAGGCCAAGTTGCATGAACAGGAAGAATATATTCTCCTTAAGTGAGGCTGAATAGCGTTTTGCTTGGATAGTAATCTTTGTGATGCATTTTTTAACAAGAGAAAATTAACTTCACCCTCATTAGGGAGGAGCCTAGAACATGGGTATCTACCCCTATTCCCTGTGTGAAGATACCAGAGCCTTTTGAGAGCTAGTTTAATGACCCGTACTCATTTCTCAAGTGAAGAAGGGTGAATTTCCTGAGGGAGGGGTGTTAGCTTAAACAGGGATTGCAAGAGAACAAGGGAAGCTTTAAAAAGATACTCTCACCGTGCTCAGTGGCTCAGCCTGTAATCCCGTGCTTTGGGAGGCCAAGGTGAGTGGATTGCCTGAGCCCGTGGGTTCGAGACCCACCTGGGCAACTTGGCGAGACCTCATCTCTACAATAAGTCAAAAAATTATCTGGGCATGGGAGCGCACGCCTATAGTTCTAGCTACTTGGAAGGCTGAGGTGGAAGGATCGCTGGAGCCTAGCAGATCGAGGCTGTGGTGGCCAGGAGCGGCCACTGCACTCCAGTCTGGGCGACAGAGTGAGACTCCAAATCAAAAAAAAAAAAGATACTCTCAAAGTTATATACAAAAGGGAAAGCTCCCAATGTAAAATTGTGCTCTCTGCCCCCATCCTTTAAGGAGGACACTAAAGAATGAGCTTCAGGTCTTCCCCTTGGGATTTCTCACCCACCTCCTAAGAAGGTACTTGAACCTCTAGCACAGCTTAGCTTGGGTTGGTCTCAGGAGGTGGGTAGGGTAATACCAGGGGAGGGGAGCCCCTTCTTCATAATTGACTGGTGCAGGTGCTGTCAATAGGTCCCTAGGTTGCTTCTCATAGATGATCATGAGAGAGGACAGACACTAGCACTCCTTATTCCTTCCCTGCTTAATTTTCCTCCTGTGACACTTATTATCCTCCAACATAGTTTTAAGTCTTTCATCCACTGGAATATAAACCTTACGTTGGGCAGAAAGCTATGACTTTTGTGTTCACTGCTGGTTACCCTGTGTTTGGAACAGTGCTGAGCACATAGTGGGCATGTAATAGTTTTTGAAAGGACACTCTCCCCTGAAATACAGAAAGCAGAGCCCTGCTACACCCAGCTTGCATATATAATGAGCTATGCAACATTTGGCAAGCTACCTAACCTTTCTGAGCCTTAGTTGGTGTTTTTTTCATTTATAAAATGGAATTATTATACTTCATGGAAACTATCTCACAGGGTTATCTTAAAGATCAGCAGGGCAGTCCTTCCCAATATGAATTACTACCACTTTTACGTCGTTTGTACAGTATCTGTAATGTTAGAACTACCATTAAAAGTTTCTGGGGAACTTTAAAGCCTTTTAGAGCTATGGACCCTAAGGGAGTTTGGAGCAGGAGTGAGCAGGCTGGAGGACCATGCTCCAGAGAATTCTAACTAGCCACCAGCAGGAACTAAGAAAGAAATCCCTTCCTTTGAGGGCTTTCTGTCTACTATTTGGGCTTTCTTAACTCATTCTGCATTTCACCTTCCATTGGAGGAATTTCTTGATTTAATTTAAATTTATTTTTTTGAGTCAGGGTTTCACTCTGCCTCCCAGGCTGGAGTGCAGTGGCACAATCATGGTTCATGGCAGCCTCAACCTCTTGTGCTCAGGCGATCCTTCCACCTCAGCCTCCCGAGGAGCTGGGAATACAGGCCCACAACACCACACTTGGCTACTTAAGAAAATTTGAAAACAAATTTCTGTAGAGGTGAGGTCTCACTATGTTCCCCAGGCTAGTCTTGAGCTCCTGGGCTCAAGGAGTCCTCCTCTCGCCTTGGCAGCCCAAAGTGCTGAGATTATAGGCATAAGCCACCATGCTTGGCCTGCTTTAAACTCTTTCCTGATTTAAACTCTGTCTCCTAATTTAAACTCTTACCTTTCAATTTGTCCTAATCTTCATTAAATATTTTTGCCCTTTCGGGCTTTAGATCTGATCTTGCCCACTCTGGATAATAATCTTTGGATACTGCACCTGTGGGCTCTTCCCTTCATCAGCTCTGACCCATGTTCTGTGATAGCATTTTGGCATATTTCTGTATGGTATGAACTATATACACATTGACATTGTTAAAGAGTAAAAGTATCTTCAAACTGATACCGAGGGGATGATATCGGTTGTGCAAATTATCCCAGAGAAAGTTTCCATCTGGTAAGCCGTAGAAAATAACATGGCTGCCTTTGGGCAGGTGGGAATTCAGATACTTCAGAGTCTGCATGACCTTGGAGTACAGTTTCTCAGGAGTGGTCATTTCTGGGACTGGGTCAGCCTTCCTGTTGGTAGAAGACACAGAAAATAGATTATAAGAATAGATGCATGCAAGTTGCATGCAGATACAAGATACACCACACACACACACACACACACACACACACACACACACACACACACACGGTTATTAGTGCTACTTGCAAAATATTCCTGGATTTTCACTTTTTTAGCATGTGGTAAAATTGTACTTCCCAACTCCCTTGTGGTTGGGTGGACCATGTGACTGATTCTACTGAGTTGTGAGCAGAGGTGACATGTGTCATGTTTGTTAGTGTTAGCCTCCAGAATGCTCTTTTTCTGTGCCATCGGTAGGGACCATGTTCTAGTACTGCATCACCAACCTGAGTCCTGGAACAGATTCTCACAGTGACTCCTGATGGACAAGTAGTGTGATAGAGAAATAAATGTTCTTGCTTTATGCTACTAAGATTTTAGGGGCTGTTTGTTCCTGTAGCAAAACCTCACCTATCCTGATTTACACACAATTAAAGATAAGAAAGGGGAATGGTATTGCTTACTTGATACTTCAAGATCTGTAACTTGGTCTTTAAAACTCTTCACACGTATTAAGTTAGAGAAATAGAATCTCTTTGAAAAATAAAGTTACATTATATGTCCACACCATATCTCACTTTTTATCCTTCAGTTTCTACACTAAATTTGGACTGTCAAACATTTCCTGATAGACTACTATTCCAGGCTATACACTGCAACAACATTTGCCAACAAACAAGTCCATTTTGCCTCACTGTCTTTATATAGTAGTGTTTGTGTTCTATAGAGGATATTCAAAATTTTAAATTATATTTTCTTATTTCAGAAAAGTTAGTAAAACAGAAAAAGAAAGTGCTGAAAGTAATTATAAGACACATAGACCTAAAATCAAAGCATTTAAGACAAAGGTAGAAGTCATAAGTGAACTGAAAGTGGCAAATCTTTAACACTGATCAAGCATTTACTGAATTTAAGCTGAGTGACTCATTTTCACTTGATTTGAAAATGAGCAGAAATAAGGAATGTACAGAATACTAGGAATACATCATTTGAAGTTATGTTAAAAACTTTGTTTACGTATTTATATGTCTACTGTTTTTCATTTTTTTACATTGACTTTTGTACACATTTTCAGAAACACACTGAAATGAATTAGGATAATAACCCGCATTAACCTGGGAGTAGAATACAGAATTCTCTAAGTTTTTAATCAACACTTTATGTTCAACACTGTCTGTTGTTAATTTAAATAGAATAATGCTATAGATGTGTTTTCTATTTTGCATGCTTAAAACTCCAAACTTACCTAGTGGTCTTATAGTGGGTTAAACAGTGTTCCTTGCCAAGGCCTCAAAAGCAAATGCAGCAAAATAAAAAATTGACAGGACTCAGATTGGTAATGCAGTGTCGAGAACATTGCCCATACCCATGGCAAAGAAATAGAGCATTCTAGAGGTTCTCACGCCACCAAACATGACACACATCACTTCTGCTCACAACTCAGTAGAGACAGTCACATGGTTCACCCATCCACAAGGGAGTTGGGAAGTACAATTATACCATGTACTAGAAAGGCGGAAATTCAGGAATATTTTGCAAGTTGCACTAATAACCATCACGTTGTGTGTGTGTGTGTGCGTGCGCGCGTGTGCGCGTGTGTGTGCATGCGAGTGTGTTGTGTCAAAAACTAAAAAGAGTAAAAAGACAACCCAAGGAACAGGCAAGCTATGCATCTGGCAAAGGCCTAACATCCAGGTTCTATAAGGAACTCAAATGAATTAAAAGGAAACAAATAAACAACCTCATTAAAAAGGGAGCAAAGGACTTGAACAGACACTTCTCAAAGGATGACATACAAGCAGCCAACAAGTACATTAAAAAATACTCAGACTTGTGGATTGCCTGAGCCCGAGTGTTTGAGATCAGCCCAGACAACTTAGTGAGACCTTGTTTCTACAATAAATAAAAAATTAGTCGGGCATGGTAGTGAGTGCCTGTAGTTCTGGCTACTTGGAAGGTTGAGGAGGAAGGATCACCAGAGTCCAACAGGTTGATGCTGGGGTGGCCATGAGTGTGCCAGTGCACTCCAGCCTGGGTGACAGAGTGAGACTCCAACTCAAAAAAACAAAAGCAAAACCAAAAAAACTCAGTCTCATTAATCATCAAAGAAATGTAAATCAAAACTATGGTGAGATACCACCTAACACCAGCAAGGATGGCTATCATTAATAAGTCAAAAAAACCAAAACAAAACACAACAGGTGCTGGTGCAGCTGTGGAGAAAAGGGAACACTTCTACGTTGTTAGTGGGAATTTAAGCTAGTTCAACTTCTGTGGAAAGCAGTGTGGTGATTTCTCAAATAACTAAAAATTGAGCTTCCTGGGAATATACCCAGAGGGACATAAATCACTCTGCAAAAAAAGACACCTACACACACATGTTTATTGCAGCACGATTCACAATAGCAAAAACATGGAGCCAACCCAGATGTCCATCGAAAGTGGACTCAATAAAGAAAATGGGGTACATATACATGATGATGGACACTCCTGAGAGGGAAGGGAGGAAGGCGGGAGGGGGGAATGTGGGAACATACCCAGTACCTGGTCTACTATCAGGGGGAGAGAAGGCCAGCTGGAAGCCCAAACTTCACCTGGATTTTCCTACTTATCCTTAACCTACTTATGTAGGAAATCCTCACTTGTACCCTACAACTCCAAAATACACATACAAATGAAAAAATAAATACTGCCCTCGGACTATGACATGATTTGAAAATAGTCTTTGCTGATGTAGTTAAGATGAGGTCATACTGGGTGAGGAGGGGCCTTACATTCAATGACTACCATCCTTAGCAGAAGAGGAAAGGACACAGACACAACGAGAAAGCCCATGTGAAGTTGGAGGCAGAGATGGGAGCCATGCCGCCACAAGCCAAGGAACGCAGAGGACTGCTGAGGACTGGTGGAAGAGAAAAGGAAGGATTTTCCTCTAGAGCTTTCAGAAGGAGCTTGGCCCTGCAGACACCTTGATTTTGGACCCCTAGCCTCCAGAACTGTGAGAGAATAAATTTCCATGTTTCAAGCCACCCCATATGTGATGCTTTGTTATAGTGGCCCTAGGGAACCTAATATAGATTGCAAACCAGATAAAGTAAGGCCATAGCTCAGAGGCTGGACCTGGGGCATAGGTGATATGGGAAGAGAGGACAGGAAGAGGCTCCCAGGGACATCTACTATTCTCACTTTTAAGGGAGATCCTAAGTGGACATGGCACTGTCTTTTTGGAGGGCAACTTTTCCAAATGTATCCAAATTTGAAGTTGGCTGAATTTTTTACCTCAAGCTTTCACTTTCAGGAAGTTATTCTATACCAACATTTTCACAAATGTGCTGAGATGTATATACAAGTATTGCAATATTGTTTTGAATAGTGTAAAATGGGAAAAACTTTAAAAGCCTAGATATATAAATTATGGCACATCCATGCAATGGAACTCTATACAGTCATTAAAAAGGACAAAATAACTCGATAGAGTTGGTGATTCTACAACATGTAAATGTACTCAATGTCATTGAATTGTTCACTTCAGAATGATTAATTTCACATTATGTGGATTTTACCTCAAAATAAAAAAATAAAAAGAAGGAAGCGATTTATATGTATTCACATAGACAGCTAAAAAGTATTGTTGATTGCAAAGAACAAGTTACAGAGCAGTATGACTAATACTATTTCATTTCAGTGCATATCAATAAGTTTGCAAGTTAGAATTTACATAGAATAATTTGCATATAATTTGCATAGATGCAAATATATCAAACTTCCATGCTTAGAGCAGGATGGTGGGGGTGGGAGGTGATGAGGAGTGATTATGGAGATACTTACATTTCCTAAGTCCTGTATTATTTGAAATTTTCACAATAAATGTTATTTTGTAATTAGAGAAACAATAAACATGAATGATTCCCATATTATTGTTATTCTCCTTTCCAAAGTGAGGAGAAAAACTGTACTCTACCTAAGCTTTAATAGGAAGAACAGAAAACATTGTTTTTTATGTCATTTCCCCTCCACCTATTTCATTTAGTCAAATAAAATCACCTCCCAAACTGGTTTCTATCCAGAAGGTGACAAGGTTGAGCATGGACATGATGGTCACGTGGGTCAATTTGTGACAAGGAACATGTACCCACAGGGAGGAGAAGGTGGAGCAAGTCTAATGTTTGCTGGCAGGGTGGTAGTTGTAGTTGATGCTTCTCCACAATATAAAGGGTTGCTTGGATTTTCTTAAGGGGGGAAAGATACTTGATTTTATGAAACCTCAATGTGTAGAACTGCATGCTACATTCATGTTTCCCATTGCCATGAAATAAAATCATACTACTTTTTGAATAGAAATCTCCGTCACCTGTATAAAAAGCCCCCACAAGGATTGGAGATGAGGTTGCCACCTATGGGGGTGAAGGGTGGGGAGGGGCTGGCTTGATTCCCGTATGCACAGAAGCAGTGCTGGAAGGATCCTGTTTGAAAGGGAGATTGAGGCTGCCTTGTGAGTTTATTCAGATCAAGAGAACCTGCCCAGTGTAGCCACGTTTTATATTTCCTGCGTGTTTGAAGTTCTACAGCCAGAGTGAAATGAAAGGCAGGTTGTGTGTCTATATCCCATCTTCTGTCATTGGTAAAGCTACCACTGTCTATTAACGTTTACCTTGCCACAATTTTTTTTTTCCTGCTGATACAACAGCACTTTGGTACAAGTAATTATGCTGAGCGAATGCTTTCAACTCACAAAAAGGCAAGAGAAATGAAGATGAACAAAGTCTCCCAGACTCCCTATCGAAAGATTATTTTTTGGTAAGAGACACAATCCTAATAATGAACAAATAATCTGAAAGGACACCCACAAATTAAGCAAATATAATCAAAATGGCTAAGTGAAATCAAAATGGAGACCTTGGTATTGCTCATGAAACATTCTCCAGTTGTCTGTTCTAGCATGTATGGT